GGAGGGAGGGAGGGAGGGAGCGGTCAGGGGGGGGAAGGGGTGTAGGGTCGGATCCCGCCGTGCTGTGCTTCCCTCTGGCCACGTGTGAAAGCTGATTACTCGGAGGGATTCTCCAGGTGTGGTTTAAACCCATCTTTTGGCTCTGATTGCACGGGCCACCTCTAGGACCACATCATGTGACTGTCCTGTCTGTCCATGCTGCAGCGGGACAAAGGATGCGGTGTTTGAACGGTCCCTCACAGCACTTTCTCTAGAGAAAATTGCTGGGCATCCGAACAGCAGGAGGTTTCTTGTTTGCGCTGGTGGCTGTTGCATGTTTTAGTAAGTAGTGTAGTGTTCTTGGAGGTAGTTGTGCTGGCACGCGCCTTGCAACGAGATACTGGGACAGAAGCAGAGAAATTGTATCACCTGGTTGGAATGATCCACAGACTCCTTAAAATGACTAAGAACGGAATTCTATTCCAGCGTAACATTATCAGCCAGCATCTTTCTTTGTAAATTTGGGAGGAATGTGACCCACAGACCTCATTTGCCCATCTGCCTTCATTCCAATTTTCTCCTCTGCTTCTTCTGCCCAGCAAGTCCACAGATGTGTTTTTCTCATTCCTTGCTACAATACCTTTTTAAGACTGATCTCCGCATGTTCTTCTGCCTACAGCCTTAAATTTCCTCTCCCTTCAGTCCTCCCTGCCCATTAGGTGACACGGGCAGCACCTGTTGAAGCATGTGCATTTTTTTCCCCAAACCTCACTCATGTTTTGCCTTCTTTTGCCTGGCAAGCAGCCGGGTGAATCTCAGCAGCGCTGTGTATTTTCCCAGCAGTGGGGGCCCAACTCAGATCCTGCTAGGTGCTTGTGGAGATTTTCCTCAACTGCGGTAGCAATCAATGCCCTAAAACTCTTTTGACTAAGAGAGGTGAAGTCCAGGCCAGGCCACACTGGTGAGAAAGAGGGGTGCTCCTGCAGGTCCATAATATGGGGATTTAGAGGACTGAGAGCTTGTTGACCCATGTGGAATGGTACTTGGCACCTGTGGTTCTTAAATCGAAGAGGGAAGTTCAGTTTGACTGAAATAAGGATTACTGTAATTTTTATGGGAAAGTTCTGACTGCCATTTAATAATCCCAGAGGCTTTTCTTCCAGAGATCAGCAGGCCAGAACTTTAGGTATAAAACATTGCTAAGAAGCCAACGACTACATACGCGGTCAGGTCCAGCCTCCCTGGCATCGCTCTGCAGAGACGGCTGCTATCGCGGCGGGTGGGAGTCCTGCCGCTGGGAGATAGGCAAGCTGTGATTCCGCAGCAGCCAAAAGCCTTGTCAAATGTCCCTGTGCTCAGTAGATGGCAAACAAACAGGCCCTGGATGTTTTTATGAGAAGAAAAGCGGTATGATGTAGAGCCCTTCTCCCTCTGCAAAGTGGCCTAGCTCTTGGCAGCAGCAGGAGAAAAGCTGTGCTCCTCGTAGTAGGATACAGTCGGCATCAGTGAAGAGATGGAGTAGAGAAGGGTGCTGAGGGAACAGCAGCGATGGGGAAAACATCCTTCCCGTGTTTGTTTAGTTAGGGAGGACTCTACTGTAATGGTAAGCTCTCCGGGTGAGCAATCACCCTTCACCACGGTGTTTGCAGAGCATCTGGCACAGCGGGGCCTGGTCCGTTCCAGGGCTTCCTCACCTCAGTGGCACTATAAGTAAATAAATAAGCAGGATATGACATCAAACAGGGTATTTTATAATGCCACTCTTCCCTAGCCCTGCGTGATTCCCACCGGAATGTCTAGCTTGGCTAACATTTGTTTAGACAAAGAGTTATCATGGCTGGCACTGGGTGTTCGCTAACTGCGGCTTCATGTCTGGTCTTTGGACATCCAGGTGACAACTGCAGTGCCGCTGGTTCTGGAACGGCGTTACAGGTGTAGGAGAAGGGGTGAAGGGTGAACCCCTGTTTTCAGGGCCCTGATTCAACACACGCTCCATTTTAAACCTGGGACAGGCTGACTTGACTCTTAGCATGAGTTTCAGCGGAACTAATGTGATGAGTTCTCGGTGCTCAGGCGGCAAACTGGCTGACTTTAATGGATGTGGGAGTAGAGAATGGCTTATTGTGAGCAGGATCAGGCCCGCTGTTGCCACACAGTGTTTAATATCAGTGTTTCAGATGCTTGAATCACTGGGAAGGAAAACTTGTTACCGACATGGAAATGGAACGAAGCTGATTTCTGCTAGCTGCAGATATAGCCCCAAACCTGTGACAGGTCCGACATTTGAAATTAAGTACTAATTGCCTATTACAAATGCTTATTCATGAATGTCCCCGAGTGGAAGCTTATTTGTGCTCTGGATTCCTGTAAGAGTGCAGTTGGGAGTCTTGAGTCTCGCCACACAAAGCCTACCTTTATATCACCGGGCGTACAAGCAAGCTGCGCAGTGGGGAGAAAGCGTATTGCCTTGAATGAACAATACCGCGAGCTCAGCTAAACTCCTGTAAACCAGAGGAGGGACAATGCCAGTGTTTCCCTAATTCTTGTACCAGTTTTAGACGAGCCCTGACTCCACTCCAAAAGTAGGATTTCACAGCCTTCCGCCGTCTCGGCCATCCTGTCTGACACTCTCTGGGGTGGCACCGTCCCTCATTTTGACGGTGGCAATCAAGCAGAGGGTGGGTCACCCTTCTCCTGTCTCAGTGGCTGCCTCTCTCTTGTGGATGCAACAGGCACGTCCCCTGAGGGTCATCTGTCCTGCGGAGGAGACCAAGAAGGATGCAAACTGTCAATTTGCATGCTCGTCTTTGCAAGCATTTCCCTTCTCTTGTTGAAAATAGATGATGCACTCCAACGAACCCAGGGTTGCAAGAAGATATAAATACCTAAAACTTTGTGATCCCCAAGTGGAAAGAAGAGGCACATAAGAAAAGACTATGTATGTTTGAAAGGGATGATTTAGGGGGGTTGTTACCAAGTTTAACTTGAATGAAAAGCTTGGCTAACCGTGATGTGATGCATGCTTGCCTGTATTCAGCTGAGAGCCACTTCTCTAACCCTTTACATTCTAGTTGTACCAGTGCTTGAATTAGTGTCACCGTCCTTTGGGTTTAAATAAACATGAAGAATTTCAATCATCGGTTGTTCTTAAGGGAAGAGGGCTGGGCGGAATTTTTTTTGAGGTAGTACAGCCAAACCGCTGTATCGGCTCAGTGTTAGTGGTAGGGAGAAGGATCAGAAGGGTAAATTTATACCTTTGAAAGAGGAATCTGATGAAAACGAAACCAGCCCTCTTCACCCTGATTAGATTTCATCATGTTGTGACTTCAAAATGCCTTCAGCATCCTGGCAACAAGCGCAAAGATTTGCGAAATGTCCAAAAGTTCAAAGGACACAGTTCCTATGGATTATCAGTGTATCTTTTTTTTTTTTTTTTTTTTTTTTAAATATCTCATCTTTACTGCTCTTTCAGCACTTAAAACGGTGTTGAAGAAAAGTATTCAGCCAGACAATAAAAATAGCCAGGCCAAGTGCTCTCCAGCAGTGAACTGATCCCGTCTCGTGTGTTACGGAGGGCACAGATTCCTCTGCAGTTACAAACAGGCTCCAGGCTGGAGACAGACTCCATTTCAGACTAATTTAAGTAAAGTACGTGATGATAACTGATGGCCAGTGCCCAGTACGGTTATAGTGGGGACAGGGCCCCCCGTGCAAGATGGCTGCATCCGAATCGTGCTGTGGCAGCTTATAGATGGGAGCAAATCTGTGCTGTAAGGTATAGCTCTCAAAACTAAGCTACAGCCCTGATGGAAAGATCCAGCCCGGAGTGTGATTGTCTTAATATTGTGTTTTCCCATCAAGACAGTGAGAAGGAAACCATATTGTTACGCAGCTCACGAGTTCTTTTTAAGCAGATTTCCCAACTTTTTGTCTATTAAGGGTGCATATTGGTCCTGGCTGTTCCAGGCAGATTATTAGATCCCAGGTGCAGAGGACGAGGAATACGGTAGCAAGCATTTTAAAGAGAAACAAGAAAATGCAGGGGTAAAAGAAGGGCGAGCAGCAGCATATAAACAAAACCGAAGTCACGCCTGTGTCTCAAGCGAGGAGCAAATATAAATCCGAGTATCTTCACTGAGTTACATCAGTCAAAAGACCTGGCACCATCATTGCGTTTCACCCAACGTGAACTCCTTTTCGTGATGATGATGCAGAGGAAGGCTGGGTCTCTTTCGGAGCTCTGGCACAGGCATCTGCAGCAGAGTCATCTGGCAGAAGTTAAGCTGGGCAGGTTCCCTTCCCTCAGTTGCTGCACGCATGGTGCTGTTTGCACACCCGATGAGACGGTGTACACCACTACCCAGGGGCAGGAATTGTCCGCGGGGAAAAGGAGAAGCTGCGATATTTGAAGTGGCTCTTGCGGCCAAGGAGTTTGCCTTGTGAAATCATCATTCTATTTGTTTGTCTTCCTGTGCAGACACATCTTCTGCCTGGGAGCTGTCTTACTCCGTGTTAATTTGACCGCTTAATGCAGGGCAGTCCAGAGCTCAGGATGGTGCAGTTAAGCCAGCAAAGCCTCTCCAGACCAGAGAGAGGTGTGTGTTGAGAGGTAGATTGAAAGGAAAAGATTTTATGGGCCCCGGTGGCTTTGTTGTGAAGGATGCCAAACCTTCAGGCTGGAAACTGTGGGCTATCACTGTGCGAAGCAAAAAAGGAGCTTAGTTTCTAAGTGGCTAATGAGTTTACTACCTTGTTTCTGTCAAGGGTTTTGCAGGGGTGATGCTGATTAATGTCATGTCCTTTCCCCAAGGCTATCCCCTTCCTCTTCCATCTCATCAGGCTCGGTCTGACACCATTTATTAGGCTACTTCTCCCTGATTTGTGAGGAATAAATATTGACACTGATGGCTGCTTAATAGGATTTGGGTTTGCTGTTCACTCTGTGAAAGAGTTTGGCACTTCTGACTCAAATGACAATTTGGGTTTGGGACCGGCTCCACCAAGACTTAATTTTGGAGTTTGTTGGGGTTTTTTTAATGAGGATGGTAACAGTATGTCCTGTGTATGAGGAGAGGCTGAGATTGGGGATATGTATTGCTCCCTTTTTTCCTATTGACACACAGAGCAGAGATTTCCAGACTGTGACTACAGATCACTGCATGGCCCTGGCAAAGGAGCGGCTTCCTTTGAGAGGGCGCTGCTGGCCACACTGGGGAATAATATTTTTGCATGTGAGCTGGTTTTCATTAACTTGTAACTAGCCTTCTACTTAGCTATGGAGGACCTGAAGTCAGACTACCAGTTGGCACCGCAGTGGGTGATGATCTCTTCCGTGCTTTCTTAGTGTGCTTGGAGCTGCTGGAAGGAAAAGCAGTTCATACTGTTTCAATCCGAGTGGTTTTGGGTGGACTTTTAAGATGTGCGCTAAGTGACTTGTGAGGAGAGTCCCATTAAAAGCTGACAGGCGTTTAGGCTAAATGGGGTTTTCTGGGTTTCCCAAGAGCGGTGAAAGGTTCTTTATCTTTATCATAAAGTATCTTTATGCTACTCTTTATGAGTAGCACCTTCATGTTCCCAGGACCCCAGGAGGATTTGAGACATTTCCCTGGAAATCAAAGCCGTGCTCTGATCTGTAGTGTAATTTCTCTTAACTGTTCCTGGATGTGCTCTGCCCCACTGGTCCTCAAGCGCAGCACCACCAGGGAAGACCCTGCGCTCATCCAGGTGAGAGTGTGAGCTTCCCCCAGCCTCCGCGGGTGCTAATCTAGCCCTGCAGCGCACGCAGTAAAACACCCAAAGTCCCAGCTTCAGGTCTTGCATTGAGCCCAAGGAATGATTTGGGTCTGAACTCAGGATCATCAGACCAAAACACAGCAGACAAGGTGAGGGGGAAGAGTTTTCCTGTTGTCAGGGAGCACAGAAGAGCTTCCACACGTGGGGCTGTGTACAGCAAAGATGCTTGTAGTATATTTTCAGC